GGACCCGCACCGGACCTGGACCCGCCTCCCCCCGGGTCGGTTTCGAGTCCCCTAAAAGTCGGACCCGGACTCGACCCGCCCCGGGGCCATGTCTAGTGCATATTAGTATTCCCTAAAAATTATCCTCATATATTAAAATTATAATAAAATATTCATTTATTAAATATAATATTTTTTAATACTTTTTTAATATTTAATTATAATATTTACTTTATCAATTTAAATTTAAATACAATATTATCTGAGTCATTAATAATTTTATCATATTGTAAGATGCATTATTTTTTTCTAATCATAAATATTTATGTCAGTACGAAAGTATTACATTATTTACATAAACACGAATAACATAAATTTAACACAAGTACAATATGAATTATAATAAATTTGACAAAGATTCTTGGAACATCCTTCCAACTAAGGTACAATAGTTGTTTATTTATAATGAAAAAACTTTATTATAACATCTATTTAGTATTTGCATCAATTAATTAAAAAATAGAGATAACATACATATGGCTAGCGATGCTCTATAGGGATTTTGACTAGTGATCTCAAGAATTTAACTGTTGGCGGCCGACTTGCCGCTTTCATCATTTAGAGATTTTGACTAATCATCTCAAGAATTTAATTGTTGGCGGAGACTTGCCGCTTTCAAAGATGAAAGGTTAGGAATTGACTTATTCCTCCTTATTTTTCTATAGAGCATGCCTAGGGGTGCAAGTTGGAACGGAATTTCCAATTTCCGCCGATTCCGATCCGAAAAGTTCCGATTTTGGAACAACTTTTTTCATTCCGACTTCCGAAATTCCGATTTCCGAATTTTTCCGATTTTTTTGGATTGGAATTGGGAATTATATAAAATAAATTTGGGAATTTCCGATTTCCGATCCGATTTAATTCCGAAAAAATCCGATTTTTTTCCGAAAATACACCTATAAATAATATATATTATATAATACTTATTTTCCGAAAAATACACCTATAAGGTTTGTTTTAGGATTTTGACATAATAAATTGTT